TGGGTTTGGTGTGGGTGTGGCGTGGGTTTGGCGTTGCTTTGGGTTACTAGTGGGCGTGGGTTTGGCGTGGGTTTGGTGTGGGTCTGATGTGAGTTTGGTGTGGCTTTGGTGTGGGTTTTGGTTACTAGCGGGCGTGGGTTTGGGTTACTTGTAGGTGTGGGTTTGGAAACCCACGGCAAACCCACGCCAAACCGATGGGTTTGGATTACTGGTAATGCCCACAAGTAACCCATACCCACGACAAACCCACGCCAAACCCATCCCAAACCCACGCCAAACCCACGCCAAACGCATACCAAACCCACGCCAAACCCACGCCAAACCCAAGCCAAAGCCAAGCCAAACCCACGCCAAACCCACGCCAAACCAACGCCAAACCCACGGCAAACCCACGCCAAACCCACGCCAAACCAACGCCAAGCCCATGCCCACTAGTAACCCAAACCTTCCCCAAACCCACGCCCACTAGTAACCCAAACTTACACCAACCCCACACCAAACCCACGCCANCCATGCCCACTAGTAACCCAAACCTTCCCCAAACCCACGCCCACTAGTAACCCAAACTTACACCAACCCCACACCAAACCCACGCCAAACCCACGCCAAACCCACTCCCACTAGTAACCCTTGGGTTTGCCGTGGGTTTGGCGTGGGTTTACAAACCCACGCCCACTAGTAACCCGTGGGTTTGGCGTGGGTTTGGGTTACTAGTTTGTCGTCAGTTTGGCGTGGGTTTGACGTGGGTTTTGTGTACTAGTGGGCATTACTGGTAACCCAAACCCATGGGTTACGAATGGGTGTGGGTTTAGCGTGGGTTTGGCGTGGGTTTGACGTGGGTTTGGCGTGGGTTTGGCGTGGGTTTGGGTTACTAGTGGGCGTGGGTTCGAGTGGGTTTGAAGTGGGTTTGGCGTGGGTTTGGTGTGGGTTTGGCTTGGGTTTGGCTTGGGTTTGGCGTGGGTTTCGCGTGGGTTTGGGATGGGTTTGGCGTGGGTTTGGCGTGGGTTTCCAAACCCACGCCTACTAGTAACCCAAACCCACGCCCACTAGTAACCCAAACCCACGCCCACTAGTAACCCAAACACACGCCCACTAGTAACCCAAACCCTCACGCACTAGTAACCCGTGGGTTTGGCATGGGTTTGGCGTGGGTTTCTAAACCCACGCCCACTAGTAACCCGTGGGTTTGGCGTACGTTTGGGTTACTAGTTTGGCGAGTGTTTAGCGTGGGTTTCGCGTTGGTTTTGCGTGGGTTTGGCGTGGGTTTGACGTGGGTTTGGTGTACAAGTGGGCGTTACTAGTAACCCAAACCCACGGGTTACTAGTGGGCGTGGGATTGGCGTGGGTTTGGCATGGGTTTGGCATGGTTTGACGTGGGTTTGGCGTGGGTTTGGCATGGGTTTGGCATGGTTTGACTTGGGTTTGGCGTGGGTTTGGCATGGGTTTGGCATGGTTTGACGTGGGTTTGGCGTGGGTTTGGCGTGGGTTTCGCGTGGGTTACTAGTAACGCCCACTTGTAACGCAAACCGACGCCCACTAGTAACCCATGGGTTTGGCGTGGGTTTGGGTTACTAGTGGGCGTTACTAGTAACCGAAACCCACGTATTACTATTGGGCGTGGGTTNACGCCCACTAGTAACCCATGGGTTTGGCGTGGGTTTGGGTTACTAGTGGGCGTTACTAGTAACCGAAACCCACGTATTACTATTGGGCGTGGGTTTGGCATGGGTTTGGAGTGGGTTTGATGTGGGCTTGGCGTGGGTTCGGCATGGGTTTGATAAGGGTTTGGCGTGGGTTTGGTGTGGGTTTGGGTTACTAGTGGGCGTGATTTGGCGTGGGTTAGGCGTGGGTTCAGCATGGGTTTGATGTGGGTTTGGCGTGGGTTTGGCGTGGGTTTAGTGTGGGTTTGGGTTACTATTGGGGATAACTAGTAACCCAAACCCATGGGTTTGGCGTATGTTTGGGTTACTATTGGGCATTACTGGTAACCCAAACCCATGGGTTTGGCGTGGGTTTGGCGGTGGGTTTGGCCTGGGTTTGGCCTGGGTTTCCAAACCCACGCCCACTAGTAAACCATGCGTTTGGCGTGGGTTTGGGTTACTAGTGGGCGTTACTAGAGGGCGTGGGTTTGGCGTGGGTTTGGCTTGGGTTTGGGTTACCAGTGGGCGTGGCTTGGGTTACTAGTGGGCGTGGGTTTGGTGTGGGTTTGGCGTGGGTTTGGTGTGGGTTTGGGATTGGTTTTGCGTGGGTCTGGCATGGGTTTGGGTTACTATTGGGCGTTACTAGTAACCCAAACCCATGGGTTTGGCGAGGGTTTGGCGTGGGTTTCCAAACCCACGCCCACTCCTAGCCCATGGGTTTGGCGTGTGTTTGGGTTACTAGTGGGCGTGGGTTTGGGTTACTCGTGGGCGTTACTAGTGGGCGGCTTGGGGTGGGTTTGGCGTGGGTTACTAGTAACGCCCACTAGAAACCCAAACCCACGCCCACTAGTAAGCCATGTGTTTGACGTGGGTTTGGCGTGGGTTTGGTGTGGGTGTGGCGTGCGTTTGGCGTAGCTTTGGGTTACTAGTGGGCGTGGGTCACTAGCGGGCGTGGGTTTGGTTTACTAGTGGGCGTGGGTTTGGCGTGGGTTTGGTGTGGGTTTGATGTGAGTTTGGTGTGGGTTTGGTGTGGGTCTTGGTTACTAGTGGGCGTGGGTTTGGGTTACTTGTAGGTGTGGGTTTGGAAACCCACGCCAAACCCACACCAAACCGATGGGTTTGGATTACTTGTAATGCCCACTAGTAACCCATACCCACGACAAACCCACGCCAAACCCATCCCAAACCCACGCCAAACCCATGTTAAACGCACACCAAACCCACGCCAAACCCACGCCAAACCCAAGCCAAACCCAAGCCAAACCCACGCCTAACCCACGCCAAACCAACGCCAAACCAACGCCAAACCCACGGCAAACCCACGCCAAACCCACGCCAAACCAACCCCAAGCCCATGCCCACTAGTAACCCAAACCTTCCCCAAACCCACGCCCAACCCACACCAAACCCCGCCAAACCCACGCCAAACCCACGCTAAACCCACGCCCACTAGTAACCCGTGGGTTTGTCGTGGGTTTGGGTTACTGATGGGACATCGGTTAGAGGTGGACGGCCAACCCCACGCCAAACACACGCCAAACCCACTCCCACTAGTAACCCAAACCCACACCCACCCAAACCCACGCCCACTAGTAACCCAAACCCACGCCCACCCAAACGGACGCCCAGTAGTAACCCAAACCCATGCCAAACCCACGCCAAACCCACGCCAAACCCACACCAAACCCACGCGCACTAGTAACCTAAACCCACACCCAACCCATGGGTTTGGCGCGCCAAACCCAACTAAACCCACGCCAAACCCACGCGCAACAGTAACCCAAACCCACGCCAAACCCACGYSCACTAGTAACCCAAACCCACGCCAAACCTATGCTCACGAGTAACCCAAACCCGCCAAACCACGCGCACTAGTAACCCGCGGGTTTGGTGTGGGTTTAGCGTGGGTTTGGTGCGGGTTTGGCGTGGGTTTGGCATGGGTTTGGCGTGGGTTTGGTGTGGATTTCCAAATCCACGCCCACTAGTAACCCATGGGTTTGGGTTACTAGTAACGCCCACTCGTTGGCGTGGGTTTGGCGTGGGTCACTAGTAACGCCCAGGGATGAAGTCCTTGAGGACGGCTACCATGGCTCTCTGAAAAACGGCTACCCCATTAGTCCAACCCATAGGGACAACCATTATCTGTATTAGTCCCAATGGCGTATGCATAGCCGTGAGGTGTCTGTCCCTAGGATCAAGCGGTACCTCATCATAGCCTGAGAACAGATCACAAACCGAATAAATCGGCATACCTGCGGCGCCTTTTGCCAGTAAATCGGCGTGTGGCATGGAGCCCACGTCTCGTATCGTCACCGCGTTCATCTTCTGAAGGTCCTGGATCCATCGGATCTTGCTATTCCGCTTTCGTAGGAAGAACCATCGATTAGCATAAGCGCTATCAGATGCCTTCGCAACATGGGAAACCATCTTTTCTTTCAGGAAAGTGATAACTCCTTCCTTCTCCTTCTGGGCGTATTTCCATCCTGCGTCATTCCAGGGAACATGTGGTATAGTGTAAATCCTTGCTGGCTTAGCGTATCGAGGGTCAACCCTACGACGCTCCGCGTCACTGAAAGCTATGGCCTTATCACATGTCTTCAGGATTTCTACCACACGTTCTCGCTCCTGTCGGGTCAAATTCACATCTCCGATGTCCATCCCTGCTATCCTCCTTTCCGTTAGGCGTTGTGGCTCCTTTTTCTTTCTTTTTTTGATTTCTTTTGCGATCTCTTCTTCCGATATCCCTTCCAGTGTAGATCTCTCGCGGCCCACCGCCGCTGGCTTAACTTTTTGAGCTACTCGCTTGTGCCGCTTGGGTAGCCCCCGATAGGGGGCCGTGCCCTTAAAAAAGACACGGATACCACACCGCCAAATTCCTCATATTTTTCCTTTGGGTACGACTCGCCGTCCACTATCAGCCGACTCCCTAAATCTTCCACCTCCACGATCCAACCTTCTTCCTCTGTGAGCAGTGGTCCATACTTCTTCTCCCGAAATCGCACCGCGCGGACGGAGATAGGTAATGACTTAATCTGATTACTGGGTTTGGCGCCCACAGCGAGAGCTGCTCTGTTCCCCGGGTCCCGAGGCTCCACTGTCTCAATCATTTCTCGCATCCCGTCTAGCTTCTTAATGGACAATGTCTGGCTCCCGTCCGATCGCTCTATCGTCACTGCATGCACGTGGCTTAACCACGTTCGTCCCAAGAGCAGATCGGAACTGCAGTTCTTGACTGCAAAGACAGGCAGGGTCACTCGTACTCCTTGGACCTGTATGGCTGCCTTGTGACAAACCCCAGTGATCTGTTGCTTTCTCCCATCAGCCGTCTCTATCTCGAATAGGTATGACCTATCGAGGCCCAGCCTAACCTGTACTGCCAGATCCTCGTTTATAATGACAGGCTCACTGCCGTTATCGATCACAGCGTCGAGTACCGCTCCATCGTTTATGATCGTCTCCACTGCCCCACTACCAAGTATGTAAAACTTGTCTGGAGGCACTCCTTCCATCCCATCAAGAAGGACTGTCGCCATACGATCCGCTCTGGCAGTCACCCCAGTTACCGCTACAGTAGGAGCATCCGCCTTAGGGGTCCCTTGAGCCTCCTCTGATAGGGGTACGCGAGTCTTCCTCGTGATCATCTGTAACTCATCGGGAACCGACTTCGATGCCGCCAGGTACTCCAGAATGGAGCACTGCATGGGCTGCCGAAGGGCCCGCCACAGCGGCTCGACCATGTCAATCTCGTCCAGCGAACTCTTCATCAAGAACTTCTTCACTCCCCGTTTCCGCGGCGAAAGAATAACCTCCTCTCCATCAATCCGTTGTCCGTCTTTCTCTGCCATCACGTAATCCGTTTCAGCCTTCTTCGATGTAGATCCCCTCGCCAACTTGGTGGCTGCCACCCTTATGGGTGTGGTCGCCATATCCCCCTCAAAAGTTATCTTGATGCTCTCTTCCTTCATCAAAGGGAACATCGATACATCTCCCAGGTCGTCTGCCCACTTGACGTACTTGCGGTCGTCAAGCACGACAAGTCCCTCTTCTATTGCCCGTTTGAGATCCGGGCAATCTTTCTTGATATGATCATCCCCCCTATTGTAGATGCAAGAGTTCCTAGGAGTGGGTGGCCTGTCGTCAGCGCCTCTGGAGGTCGAACCCTTGGCTGCTCTGGGGTCACGGGACTTCGGATATGGATCAGACGACGCGCCATATCCCCCTCTCTCATTCCTGCCACGCGAATCATCGCGGCGGTCTCCACGTTCGTATCGCCCGCGGGAATCATCACGTCGGTCTCCTCGGTCGTGGAGTTCGGCGTGGGTTACAAGCGGTGGATTTTGGCGATGGCTTGGTGTGTGTTTGGCGTGGGTTTGGCGTTGGCTTAGTGTGGGTTTGGCGGTGGAGTCTGGCGATGGCTTGGTGTGGGTTTGGCGTGGGTTTGGGTTACTAGTGGGCGTGGGTTTCGCTTGGGTTTGGCGGGGGTTTGGCGTAGGTTTGGTGTGGGTTTGAGTTACTAGTGGGCGTGGGTTTGGCGTGGGTTTGGCGTGGGCTTGGCGTGGGTTTGGCGTGGGTTTGGTGTGGGTTTGGCGTGGGTTTGGCGCGGGTTTGGCGTGGGTTTCCAAACCCACGCCCACTAGTAACCCATGGTCTTGGTGTGCGTTTGGTGTGGGTTTGGCGTGCGTTTGGCGTGGGTTTGGTGTGGGTTTGGCGTGCGTTTGGTGTGGGTTTGGGTCCAGGGTTGTCGACCCCCGGGCCCGGGGCCCCGGCGGGGGTCCCGGGGGTCGGGGGTCGGTACCCCCGACCCCGGCTTCCAGAACCAAAAAAAAAAAAAAAAGTAAAAATCGAAAAAAAATCGAAAAAAAAAGAAGAAAAATACTGGGGGGTGCGCACCGCCGCCTGGCATCCCCTGGCGATTTCTCGATTTTCCAGAAACAGGGGGTCCACCCCCTTCCCCCCCGGGTGGCGGTCACCAGTGGCGGGGGTCGGGTGTCGGGGG